TTAGGAAGTTATGAAAACGATGGATCGGAAGCGCAGGTGAAAGTGTTGTGTAATTTGGGAAGGATATATATAAAGACCCACGGCTACAACGTGATTACAAAATGCTGGAGCATCCACAAAGAACGGTCACCAAAATGGTTAGGGGGTTGAATCGTTATTCATACGCAGAGAGATTGAAGTCGCTGGGGTTATAGTCCAATCATTACCGGCACATCAGAGGAGATATGACTATGATATACCAAATAATGCAAAATCCAAGCTATCTGTGTCGCTCGCTGCTAAAGTTATCACCCAACGTTGACTATCTGTTCAAACTAGTGGTCTCAAAATGCCGATTGGAATGCCGGTGTCAGTCATTCGCAGTCAGAATGTGATCGATCTGGAACTCTCTCCCACCCCATGTCGTCTGTGCACCAAGTATTGAATCTTTCAAACTGAGGCGCAATGAAACATTAGCACACCTTGCACTCCAACATAAGTGAAGCTGCGTGCAGCAATGGAAGTAACCCTTATCATGTGACATTTTACACAAGGAATTTCCTGTATAACTGTCTTTTAACCACAACACGAACCTAGGGGATGAGAAAAGCATGAGCTTGTAAGTTATTCCCATACAAATTAATAAATCTTTGTTTAAAATAGACGCTGTGTGTGAGGAAATTTCACGCATCCCACCGGGATCGATCGCAGTTAGCCAGACCGAATCATTGAGAACTGGAAATGCCACATTACAATAGTACGACCTGTCGTTCACCATTAGTCACCGTCAGTAAACAGTCGACCCAAGTTGGAATAACTGTTGCCTGAAGTACCCTACACAGCAATCAATAATGTTCTCATGGTCTTTCATCTCTGTTCTGGTAATATTCACATGGGTTAAATAGAAAGAGTTATTCGTCTTCTCCAATTCAAGTTCAGTTCAGTACCGAAGAACAGTCCCCTTTCACAGCAATACCTGGTGTTGAATCAAAATTTAAAAAAAAACAAGTTTTAAAAATAGCATGAGCCGGCGTAAGATGACCATGTTCATTCATTATGAATAGCATCGATAAATTGAGAAAAATGTGAATTTTTTGGTTGTCATTCCACAACCTCTGGAGTACTCAGACCAGGTGATGACTGTTCATGTTCTTACTTGTGCACGCACGATAACATGTCTTAACTTAATTGTATTTTATTTTTCCACGGTTCTCACTTCCAAATAAAATGATCTCACTAAACTGAGAACCACTACTATTGATATTACATTTTATTCACTTTATTAAGTGTGAATTATACCAAACGATCAGGGCAACCTGTTGATCGGATTAGTCTAATTAATGTAATGGGCTAAAATATTCAGCTCACTCCTAGAAGACACTTTTGGATGAGTGCAAAAAGGTGGGTAGTCAGGAATGGAGTTTTACGAACTGTCATGAACTACAGATGTGCCGGTTATTTTGCCTGGACTAGACGAGATCGACTGTCCTGCGAATAAGAAACTGGGATAGTTATGTAACCGGTCAGGATATTGTGGAACGATCACACGGTGCATATTATGTGAGAACAATTTATTATTCTACTGGACAACAATCTGGAGGGAACCAATGACGTTTATGTTCCAGTCTGATTTTCGTACGATGTCAATGGAGCTCTAAATTTTCCTAA